GCGACAGTGGAGAGGAAAAACTCCCTTTGAACAGTAAGAAACCTCCAGCAGAACCAGGCTCAGTGTGAGCGGCCATCTGTGTGTGAGCCAGCTCCCATGCCAGAGGACGAAGAGAGCACATCCAGTTAGTCACGGTCAGAGAAACAGGACCACACAGGAAAACAGGCCGATCTCCAGCATCTATAAAGTTCATTTAGTTCCTGAACTAAATGAATGAATGAGGGGTTAACCCAGACCGGGTGTCCAGGCCTACGCAGATTTTAGCTTTCTAGACATCTCTGCGCTAGTTCAGAAAACGCTGACTGGTAGAGATGATTTCTGTAGTAACAAGCATGTGGAGGTTTCATGGTTTTGGAACCGATGGCCAATGTATTGCAGGACGCGCCGTATTTCAGCGTACTCATGACTTATCCAACGTATAGCAGCGTTTTCGCCTGATTTTTTGTACGCTGGTCTAAATCGTCAACCTGTGAGAGGAGCTTAAAAAAGATCAAATAAAACGTACCCGAGTCCAGGGATGCGTTCGCACTGGCCGGTCATCCCTGCGATCAGGTTGCTGTGAACTATCATGACTCCTTTGGGGCGACCCGTGGAACCGCTGGTGTACATCACCACCGCCAGATCGGAGGGCTGAGGCGTCACGATTTCCCTTCCCACTGTGGGTTCAAATACATCAGTCACTGCCGTTTCCAGCTTTATTCTCCTGAATGGACGCTAAGGAGGAGGGATACAGACGGTTCTCTGGCGCGGCGCCCAGCTCCCGTACGGCCTGCATGCTGTGGATGGAAACTCCTGCTGGGAAGCCCTCTGAGCTGACTTTCCTCTGGTCCACATAGACGATGTGCTTCAGGTTGGAGATCTGCGGCAGAACTTTCTGAACAAACAAAGATAGAACAGGGCCGGTTATCCACAGATTTCAGTCTAATAATGAAGGATTTCTGTCACTGAGGCGTCCGACTAACATCCTTCCATTAATGCTTAAATTAAACATAAAACCCAAAAAAAACACGACGAGTGAAAGTGAACAAAAAATCAGTCGGACATGTTTGATCAGGACTGACCGTCTGTCTGCAAACATAGCGACACATGTGCAGCTCACACTGGAAAAACTATCTAAAAATTAGCAAAAATGTCTTAAATTAAGTGTATTTACTCTTAATTTAAGCAGGTAAATGAGATGATTTGCCAATGGAATGAGTATTTTTACTCTTAAAATTATATATTTGGATAAAATACACTTGAAATAAGACAATGCAGTTGTGTTTTCTTATTGTAAATGTAAATTGTCTTATTCCATTGGCAACGTGTCTCACTTACCTCCTTAATTTAAGAACAAATGCAGTTATTTTAAGAAAAAATTACTTGTCTAGATTTCGATTTTTTCCAGTGCAGCTAAATACTCTGCAAAAAAAAAAATCAAGAAACAAGTAAAAATGTCTTAAATTAAGTGTAATTAACCTCAATTTGAGTAGGAAAATAAGATGATCTGCCAATGGAATGAGGATGTTTTCTATTAAAACAAGATGATTAGATAATCGGAACTTGAAATGAGACAAATTCCTTATTTTAAATGTATATTGTCTTGTTCCATTAGCAAAGTGTCTCACTTATCTACTCAATTCAAGAAAAAATGCACTTATTTTAAGAATAAATGACTTTTTAGATCTACTTTTTTGCAGTGTAAAAAACATGTTAGTTTCCTAACTGTGGAAAATAAAAGTTACATTTTTTAATAAAATTCAAACGTATATATTTGTGTCCAGATAAAAACTTTTCCGTCCGTCAATCTTTTCTATCCTGAACTCCTCGAGTGGAAAAGTTTTGGTTTTAATTTTCTAAAAAGTCTTCTTTAAGGAATCTTTTTCTATCTAATTATTAATTAATTAATTGAAAAAAAAACTATTGAAATGGGAACTAGAAATGAGTGATGTGATTGAAGATGAAGAGTGGGAGCAAGTGTGTATAACTGGACATAAACTGACTAACAGTCCAACATTTAGGGATGCACGATATAATCGGCCCCCTATCGGTATCGGCCTTAAAAACTGAATATCGGACATCGGCCACCCCACCGATATTTAATCAGCTTCTAAATTTCTAAAGTCTAAAAAAAAAAAAAAGAAAATACTACTTCTTCTTCTTCCTCAAAAACTTCTTTTTTACAGACTTAAAAACTTAAAGACGAGGGAAAAAATATTGATCCATTAAAATATCCCAATATCTTCATATGCTGATATATTGCCATTTAAAAACACCATATCAATCTCTTTTACTAATGAAATATTGCTATATGTCATCGTTATGCTTCGAAATCCCCCGAAAATTCATTAATGTTTGCCATATTTTTATATGTTGATATATTGACTCG